GAGTCCCCCGGAAAAATCAGGCCTTTGAGAGGGACCTCAAGAAAGAAGCACCGCTGGTTTATTTTAAAGGCACCTTTTTAAATAGGTGGACGGCTGTGCTACCTGTGACATGCTACATTTCTGTTAGTTTTTATACGCTGGATTGAAAACCTGGTTTATTTTTCCAGGTGGCTGTGCTGAAAAATATTTTTTCTGCTACACGTGTCAGTTTAAAAAAATCTGCTTATTTAGAAGCAAAAGGATAAAAATGCCACTAAACTCAGCTCAAGATTGGGTGGAGGAGGGTGGATTTTGTGTGCCTGCCTTGTGTCAAAGATCCTGTCTATTTGTCTTCTGGCCTTTTTCTCTTTTTTTTGGTCATTTGTACGCTTCATTGGGACACTGCCTGGGCTCCAAGGTGTTTCTTTTTTTTTTTTCGCTTTTTCCCCCCCTCCTAGATTTTTATTTATTTGAATTAGTATGTGTCTGTAAGTGATTAACTTTAAATTTTTAATCAGTTTAGGAACTGAGCTTTTATATATTCAGTACCTCTAAATAGAATCATAGAATGGTTAGGGTTGGAAGGGACCTTAAAGATCATCTAGTTCCAACCTCCCTGCCATGGGCAGGGAAACCCTCCACTACACCAGGTTGCCCAAAGCCTAACCCAACCTGGCCTTGAACACTTCCAGGGATGGGGCATCCACAACTTCTCTGAGCAACCTGTTCCAGTACTTCACCACCCTCAATGTAAAGAATTTCTTCCTTATATCTAATCTAAATCTCCCCTCCTTCAGTTTAAATCCATTGCCCCTTGTCCTGTCACTACACACCCTTGTAAAAAGTCCCTCTCCAGCTTTCCTGTAGGCCCCCTTTAGGTACTGGAAAGCTGCAATAAGATCACCCTGGAGCCTTCTCTTCTCCAGGCTGAACAGCCCCAACTCTCTCAGCCTGTCTTCATAGCAGAGGTGCTCCAGCCCTCGGATCATCTTCGTGGCCCTCCTTTGGACTTGTTCCAGTAGCTCTATGTCCTTCTTATGTTGGGGACTCCAGAGCTGAACACAGTATTCTAGGTGGGGTCTCACTAGAGCAGAGTAGAGGGGCAGAATCACTTCCCTCGACCTGCTGGCCACACTTCTTTTGATGCAGCCCAGGACACGGTTGGCTTTCTGGGCTGCCAGTGCACATTGCCGGCTCATGTTGAGCTTCTCATCCACCAGCACTCCCAAGTCCTTTTCCTCTGTGCTCTCTCAATCCATTCTCCACCCAGCCTGTACTTGTGCTTGGGATTGCCCCGACCCACATGCAGGACCTTGCACTTGGCCTTGTTGAACTTCATGAGGTTCTCACAGGCCCACCTCTCAAGCCTGTCAAGGTCCCTCTGGATGGCATCCCTTCCTTCCAGCGTGTCCACAGCACCACACAACTTGGTGTCATCTGCAAACTTGCTGAGGGTGCACTCGATCCCGCTGTCCCTGTCTCTAACAGAGATGTTAAATAGCACTGGTCCCAGTACTGACCCCTGAGGAACACCACTCAACTCAGGCTTCCACGTGGACATGGACATAACTAATAATAGCTTTTAGATATATAATAGAGAACTAATAATAGCTTTTGAAGAACAGATAGAGCTTACACTTAGTACAAAGTAACACAGTAATTTGGGTGATGTAATGAGTATCTGCTAGTTCATGATACTGATTTTTGCTACTTTATTCCATGTGCTTCCATTTTAGTGGAGTAGAAGCTAAGCAGCCCAACTCTGCCATCAGGAAATGTGTTAGAGTCCAGCTGATTAAGAATGGCAAAAAAATAACAGCTTTTGTTCCCAATGATGGCTGCCTGAACTTCATTGAGGTAATTTTCAATAAATGATCTTTAAGCTTAATGTTGTGTATCAAAGTAAAGAAACTCATAATTGACGGATTTAGGCAGCAGTTAGGCAAGGGTTCGTGGCGTTCTGCACCGCCTGTATCTTAAAGCTGTAGTGACAGAGGTAAATGACAAACGTGACAGATGTTTTTGTACTTTCTGCTGCCTTAGCAAAGCCAGTTCTCAGCTGTGCTGCTGCAAGCTGAATGACATCTGCTTAAGTTTCCTTTCTCCAAAACACTGAAGGGAATAACAGACCTTTATTAATGTGTATCAATAGCCTTCAGAATTTCTACCTTTTCTTTAAATTTGAGCCACACCCTAGACTTCCTAAAGTTACCCATTTCAGAAGTATGCGCACAGGTTTACTATTTATAGCTTTTTAACTCTGTGGTCTTTCATTGCAGGAAAATGATGAAGTTCTGGTTGCTGGTTTCGGTCGGAAGGGTCATGCTGTTGGTGACATTCCTGGAGTTCGCTTCAAGGTTGTCAAAGTAGCCAATGTTTCTCTGTTGGCCTTGTACAAGGGCAAGAAGGAGAGACCAAGGTCATAAATTTAGATGAATTTGCCAATAATGTCAATAAAATTTTTGATTGGAAAAACTTCTATGCTTGTTATTTAAGGCTTACAATTTTTTAATGTATATCTGCAAGTGACGTGTGTCAGAGATGTTGGGGCCTACTGTTTCGCTGTTGGCAGCTGGCTTTTCCTTCTGTAAGAAATGCTTTGCTGTTGAATGACAGAAGAGAGCCAGAGCATCCTTATAACCAGCAGGTGAGCTTGAAAAGCACTGCATTTCCAAATTTACCTTTGTGTTGTGTGGAGCAGCACAGCTGTCTGATGGGAATTTCAGAGATTTATTAAATAGAGTAGCGACTGCCCTGCTGTCAGGATGGACTGATAGATCACTCTGGGGCCTCTGTCCCCTCATAAACTGCTCTTCTTGAAACCTGTCATGGAAAGGGCACCACGAAGCAATTTCTGGGCTGTTACGCTGCCAGTTGTGCAGAACCATAAGGATTTTGAAGCTTGGGTCCAAGTATGACACTGTAACACAGCTAATTGGAGGTCTGACCTGAGGAAGTAAGCTGTGTTGTAGGAGAATCGAAAGGTTTCCTGTGTTTGCAGCTTGTCAGCCTGGCACTTGTCCAACACAGCTGCATGTCCTGTGTGCACCAAAAGTCAAAGTGGGCTAACTACGGCTTTGGTGTCACAGCCTTAATGATCCCAAGGGGGCTGCATTGTCACAAATCAGTGTATCTCGTTAGGGATGGCTTCTGCAGTGGAAGGGGTTGGGAGACTAACAAGTGTGCTGCAATACCTTGCAGAAAAGTTGCATTTCCTTAGTTTCCCCTTTCAATAAAGGGTCTGGAGTGGGTATTTCTGACTGGATGTTAGTACAGCACTTACAGATGGAATATAACTTTGGATCAAAAGATTTTATCAGGCAGCAAGATCAGATCTGGTATCTCTGTTAGATCTACTGTGACCTTTTGCTAGACGAATATATGGGGTTTTTTTTAAGAGGTAATGGCAGTTTTGTAAAATAGTGCTGTACTCTACAAAGAATGATTAATTGCTTTTCAGGACCACAGGATAACTACTTTTTCTTTGAATGCTAAATAGTTCAACTATCACATAACCTTGTAAAGGTGGTTGGTTGGTTGTGTGTGGGTTGTTTTTTTTTTTTTTCCGAAAGCTGAAGTATTATATATTACTCTCTTGTTTTTGCCTGTCTCTTCAGTGGCTGGGCATAGATACTGTTAGGGAGATGTTTGTATTAACTGTGATAGATTCTACATAATCCAGAACTCAGTTGCAGACTCAAATCTTTTTTAGAAGAAATAGACTGCTGTCTAGTGTAGCTGGAATTTTATCTTCAGTCATCACGTCATCCCCATAGGAACTGAAATGAAATTTCTTAATGCTAGGTCTGACAAAAAAATACCTAATGTTTCTCTGGAACTATTAAATTCATTGGGAATGAAAACATCCCCTCAAGCAGGGTGGGAGCAGAAACTGCATAGATTTTAATGTGTATTTTGGAAAATAGCCTTCCTGAAATTGAAAATTATCACTGTAAATGTTGAAAATGGTGTTTATTCATGGTCTTCAAATGACGACAGCAGTTCTGGTTTCTAGTGTGAAGACAGGCCACAGCACCAGACACACAATCCATCAGGTTTACGTCCCGAAGGGATTATTAAACCATGTATTTTATCTAATCTCATCTCTATCCTGCTCAGCCTGTAGAACTTCACCCAGTTGCTTTCATGTTAAGTGCAAATTAAGTCTTAATAGTTGGACTTGGGCAAGTCTGCCTGATCTGAAGACACGGGTTTCTTTGAGTGCATTCCAGCTGTTACCATTTAACTGCTGAACAGTGTCTTTGAGTGGGGCTTTTTGGCTTTCTTCACTAGATTAAAACCACTTCTAAATATTCGTTGTTTTTTGGTTTTTGTTTTTTTTTTTTAACTTTTCAAAGATGTCTGCACCATAATCTGGCTATTGGAAAACCCGAACCTTTCATCGGTTCATGTCTTCAATCATTTTTCTCTTATGTTTTGTCCAGTTTTGCAACGTGACTTTAAAATGTGAATGCCAGAACTAATACAGAATTAGAGAACAGAACATCAACCAGGAAGCCAACGTGTCCCTCTGTATCAGCCTTCAGATCATTGCCGAATCTTCTGTTGATACTTGCACTCATGCATTTTATATTGAATTTGGCCCCTGGAAGGTGTATTTTGCACAAAGCTTATAGCAGAGCGTTGGGTTCTTTGTTTCACGTTAGAGCTATTTTATGCAATAAAACCTCAAAAATATTTATTTGTCTGAAGTCAGAGCGTAAACAATTCCTTCATTATAATCACGGTTCAGCTGTGTGTTCATCCAAAAGGCTCTGTTTCAATTAGTGTTCGTTAATTTATATGAAAATGGAGTAAAATGGAAGAACAGACCAAGAATCCCTAGGACTGGGTGTTGTGTAACTTAGTCATCTGGGAATTTCTGCGATTTGCATTCAGATCCTTGTTCGGGCGCAGAAGCGATGTTGAATTCGCGTGTCCTTAATCCATGTGAATGCAGGAGCCTCAGTCATGACGAAAACAGCTGTCGCTGCACCAGCACTTTCCCACCTTCGTGGGAGAACACTGGAAAAGCTGTTCTCTGTGACTCCAGAATTAATGTTGGAACCTGACTTAAACACCCATTCGGATCTTCAGAGTGAGACACTTCAGTCGGGCACATTGAAGCGTAAGTGAAGAGTCTGGGTGGAGCGTGCCATCAGCTATCCCCACGGCTCCCCGGGGTACCCAATATCGCGCTTTTTTTTTTTTTACTGTGCTTTCTGGTTTCCTAGCCCTCCTGTTTTCTTGGATAGTGGAGGGTTAACTGCTTGTGTTTTTTTTTTTTTCCTTTCATGCAACCATATATGCGTTCTGGCTGTGTTCGCTTTTCACCCAAAACGTTACGTGGATGGATTTTGAGGATCTTCTACATCTGCCCAGTGTTTCTTACAGCTTCACTGGATCCAAGCTACTGTTTATGCACAGTAATTTCAACCATGCTGTTATATGCCCAGAAATCCCAGATACGTCCTTACCACGTCTGCTGCGGCTCTGTCTAATGCTTCTGTGAAACTGGGAATAGGCAGTATTTGGAGGCAGCGCACAGCAGAGACACATTCTACTGCAAAGTCTCTGAAATCCAGCCTTCATCCAGGAGCAGAACACGGTTAAGTAGACAGCAAGGTTTGAAAGCATTGGCTGCCATCAGCACAGCTGTATTTACTAATAATATGCATCAAACCAACTTCAGGTACTCACGTGAGAGAAATCAGATATAAAATTGAAAGCACAACAGCTAGAACATCACTGATATTTTTTTTTTT